TATTAAGATCATTTTTTCAACTTTACGAACGATTTCATGATCTCAATTAATGTATTTCAGAAAAAATAAATTTTGCAAAGCCCAAAAACTGAAAAAAGAAATATTAATAACAAATTTTTACTTTTTTTTATTTTGGAAATTGCGGCAAAACTGTGTCTCAATGATAAAATATTTTGACGTAAACATATGTAAAATGTTCCGGGGAATCGATTGGCGTTAAAAAAACTGCAAAATTCCTAATAGTTTTGAAGTTATAGTCGGATTTATATTTTCCATACTTTTGACTTTATCACAACTTTTCTCGATAACTATTTATCGTAGAACACTGATCTTTTTTTTATATGATAGAAAATTAAATTTGCTTTCTAACGGTACCAAATATAAGAGGTTATCACCAATAAGTCCGGAGTTATTGGCAATAGACCGCTCCGGGTACCAAAAATCGACCAAAATTTCGACAAAATTCCAAAAAAAAAATTTTTTAAATTGTTTCATAAAACGTTTTTGACATTTCTAGTGGTCCTAAAGACTCAAAAAAGTGCATAAAACGTTATCGGGTCAAGTTTAAAAAATTAAGAATTTTTTGTGTTTTTGAAGGTGAGTGGTAGTAAAATCGTAAAAATAATCAATTTTTCACAAAATCGTCTCTATTTTTACCACGGAAAGCAGATTAAACCGCAAAACGGGTGGATGACGCCCTTGGATCCAGACGCGCCGTTGCCAAGGCAACGTCTCTTTGTCCCAGTCGTATCGATTTGTACACCCCCGTTGCAAAACGTGGGCAAGTTTAATATTTTTCAGCGAACAAAATGTTGTTTATTCAGATCGAAAGTCGTTTGAGTAAACTCGGTGTATTATTGTGTCCAAACATGGGCAAGAGACAGGATTCACGAGAGGTTGGTGCATGACTGGTTGATTCCCTTTTATATTCGTGAGAAGTAAAGAAACGAAAGAATAGATCGATGGTAATTAAACTTGTCAGTGAACAATTATTCGGATTGTTACAAGAGATATTAATGCCTATATCTATTTGTAATTTAGATCGGAGATAGTCTAGTTAGATGACTGGGTATTTTTATTGACGGAGAAAAATAATAGGAATTATGTTCTTATTTCTCTCGACGAAGCCAGATATTGAGCAACAACAAAAATAGCGTTCATTTATTCTTGATACGACTTCATATTTCAAGACAATAAAGATAGAAAAGAGTTCTATATAGATCAAGGCAGCCAATTTAGTTCTAGAGAGTTGAAATATAATTTTTGAAAAGAAAAAAAAACAAACATGTGTTGTTAATTCGGTACAGTAGAACTTAAAATTTGATAAATAGTTTATAAATAAATGACCCACACTATTTCAATATCTTCCCATATCTAAAAAATGTGCTGCGCACTCATGGTGTTCATAAGCGAATAAAAATTTTTGACTACTCTTTGAATTATAACTGTTAATAAATCCTTCTGATTACATTATTCAAACCGACTTAAATGATATGTGCGAATTGTATTGGGAGACAGACACAAATAAAACAATATTTCTGATCGTTGCAATTGATATTGTCTGTCGATCGAACCTTGAATTGCAAATTGTGTAGACTCAAGTGACATGAATAAGCTTTTGGCGGTTTATTTTATCAAATTTTATCAAATAAAATTCATACAAGTTGTGTTTTTCAAAGGGGTAACAATAGATTTCGTGAAAAATATAAAAAATTGTAACCCTAGATAAGCTTACAAGACGTTTGTTGCACTGCTCGAAATCTACATAAAACGACAACTTAACTGATCCCATTTGAATTTCAGATCAGTTATTTGGATGGAGAATGTGTAGATGTCCGATCTGATAATGAATGGCTTGATTGAATCAAATAAAGCTTATGTAAAACAGAACGTAGAAATTGTGGTAACAGTTAACTATTCAGATTAATCATTTTCTCGGTAAAATACCCACTTGCAATGAAGATTTATGCAAAACCAGACACTAATTGGGAGAGATTTACGAGTATTTCAGGAAAAATTAATTTTGCAAAACCCAAAAACCAATAAAAGAAATATGAAAATAATTTATTCTTTTTTTAGCGAATTCTATTTTTCATAAATTTAAAGTTTAGGTTCATTTTTTTATCTTGTATAATATTAGCGA